TTTCTACAAGTCAACAATAAATGTTCATCAAAAGATTATTAACATGGAACTCAACATAAAGCAGAGTAGCTCAACCTCTCTACACATCACTAGAAAATCTTGGTAAAGGAACAAATTCACTTGATGTCACTCGTAGCTTATGGATAAAAATGTTTAACAGTATTAATTATAACAAGCATCAAATATTCTGCCAATTATTACTGTCCTCCAATTCATCGTCCGTATATAAAGTTATAAAATATCCTTTATATTTCATTGCTTCAGTTCCTCTCCGATCAACAACAACCCCAATCCCCCTTATGGTCATAGACACTACCGCCAGATAAAGCTTCTGGGGAAGACCGATATGATAAAAGAGATAAATAGAGACAGAAGTGCTGGAGAGAAAGAGAGAGATAACATAGATTGAAGGATGTTTTAGGAAAATTATAAGAGTTGTAGTTTGAGAGAGATGGTTGTTGAGTAATGGGGTGTTAGAAGAAAAAATTATTTGAAAGTTCTCTATCAGTTCATTTGTCACTATCATTGTGTGTAGAAAAAATTGAAGGCAACAACAAAGAGGTGGCATTCATGATATTATCGAAAAATAGAATGAAAATGAATGATTCTTATTCTCTTAGTACCATCAATTATAGAATCTTACATGAGTTTGAGAATGACATTTTCCTATGCAATTTTATGGTTTGTGTACTTATGATTTCTATTTTTGGTTTTGTGTTATGTTTTGGTTTCTTTTATATGGTCTTATATATCTTTTCTAAAGCTTGTGATTGTTTGGTGTGAACACTCTACAAAGCTATTGTAGCTTCCGCAAGCTACAAGCATTGAGGCGAGGGGGTTTGTGTACTTATTGTAGCTTCTATTAAGCATTGTAATTATTGTGTCTTTTAAGGGGAGGATCTTTATGGGGTTAATTATTTTTAATTTAATTTAATTTTGTTGGTGGTTGTGGTGAGAAATGTAATTTTTGTTAGCTATGTTTTATGTTTTATGTTGGTGGGTGCGGAATTTCTCTCTCTTAGCTATGTTTTATGTTTTCATCAAGCTTTTATTTTCACAGATATATAAAGTGGTGATCATTTTGGCTAAGTACTCTGTACTTACATAAACTATATTTTTCAGGTTCTTCGGATTTGGCTACTATGAAGTTTTGTCATGTAGAGCTTTTGAAATGCATGAAACTTCTACTTAGGTTTATGTAGCTTTTGAAACGTATTGAACGTGTAAATCCAAGAACTTTTGAAATATGTAAACTTGAATGATATTTTGGTATTTAATATATTTTGGTATTTGATATTTTGGTATTTGATATATTTTGGTATTCGATATTTTGATATTTAATATTTTGGTATTTGACCTTCAAATCAGGTATCCCAAGAATGTCGGGATTGAAATTAGCGCATTTTATTTTAGAAAAAAATTAAATATATATTGCCAACATTTTTTATAAAAACGTCGTCAAAACTATAAATATACCGACGTTTGCAAAACGTTGGCAGAATAGTAGATCTGCAGATGTTTTTCAAAACGTTGGCAAAATAGTAGATGTGTCAACATTTTGGATAACATTGACAGATGGAAACTTCTGCCTACGTTTTCATAACTTCGGCAACTTTGCTAACGTTTCGCAAAACTGGCAGAAGTTTCCATCTGCCAACGTTTCTTTAAAATGTTGGTAGATATGCCAACGTTAGAAAAAGTTGGCAGAAAGTCAGCCCTACCAACGTTTTTTTTAAGGTCGACAAAAGTATGGTTGTAAACATTTTTTAAAAAACGTTGGCAATGTGCTTTCCCAACGCACTTTTGCAGACTTTTTTGCTGACGAATATTTAACGTCGGGAGAAACTACTCCCAACGTTTTTTTGCTCTTTTGTGTTGGGAAAAATTCTAATTCTTGTAGCGATCACAACACACGCTAAGTATAGTTGCATGATGATTTTAGAAAATCAGTTATACTTAAATCTCTTTTTTCAAAATCACTCATTCTACCATCCTTCCAAAACACTCCCTTAATAAACATGGCCTAAATGAGGAACTACTTTCTATCTCTTTTCAGGATCCCAGTGAATGTGAGTGAAGGATCCGAAAAGATAATGAGGGGCTTTCTTTGGGAAGGTGTGGAGGAGGGGGGTGGGTCAGATCTTGTAAACTGGAAAGAGGTGTCTAAGCCTTTGGAAGCGAGTGGTTTGGGCAATGGGAATTTGTGACTAAGGAACGAGGCTTTCTTGGCTAAATGGTTATGGCGATTCCACGAACCTAACGCCTTGTGGCGAAAGATTATTGTGAGCAAGTATGGGCTGCATCCGTTTGATTGGGTTCCGGCATGTGGGTCTAAGGTGAGTAACTATAATCCTTGGAAGGCTATTGCGTTGTGTCTTCCCGTCTTCTCTCAATCTTTACGCGTCGTTGTGGGGGAGGGTCTAAATACTTACTTATGGGAGGATACTTGGTTAGGAGATAAAAATACTTACTTATGGGAGGATACTTGGTTAGGAGATAAACCTTTGTGCCTTGCTTTCCCTCGGATTTATTTTCTTTCTGAAAAGAAGCTTTGTTCAGTGGCTGAGATTTTGAGTCCCAGGGGAGAGGGTTCGTCCATTTCTTTGGGGCTTACCCGTTCTTTGACCGATCGGGAATCGTTAGAGGTTTCCGCGTTACTTGATCTGCTGTCTGGAGCTTCCTTCTCCTATGGGAGGGAGGATGTTAGGGTGTGGACCCCCAACCCTTCGAAAGGTTTTTCTTGTAGCTCTTTCTTCCATGTTCTGAACTCCCAGTCTCCTTATTCTTATTCTTCTTCTTCCTCCTCTTCCCTGGTGGTCCCTTGGTTTACCTCATTTTGGAAGATTAAAATTCCAAAGAAGATTAAGTTCTTTGGGTGGCAAGTCTTACTTGGAAAAGTCAATACCATGGATCATATTCAGAGGATGTCTTCCTTTTGCCTGAGCCCGTAGTGGTGTGTTCTCTGTAAGAGTGCCTCGGAAGATCTTGAGCATTTGATGTGGACCTGTCAGTTCGCGCAGGATTTATGGCTTTGTTTCTTTAGATGTTTTGGGCTTGCTTGGGTCCATTCCAGAGATTGTAAGGCGATGATGGAGGAAGTGTTGTTATTCTCCCCTTTTCGTGGTAGAGGTCGTTTTCTTTTGCAAGCGTGTTTCTTGGCTATGTTATGGGATATCTGGTTGGAGAGGAACAATAGGCTGTTTAGGGGGTGGAGAAAACTGTGGATTATGTTTGGGACCTCATTAGGTTTAATACTTCCTTATGGGGTTTCGTCACTAAGACCTTATGTAATTATCAGCTAGGTCTCATTCTTTTGGATTGGAGCCCGTTTCTTTAGGGGCTCCCTTTTGCAAGGCTGTTTTTTGTATGCCCTCCTTGTTTTTGTATCTATTTTTCATTTCTCTCAGTGAAAGTGCAGTTTCTTATAAAAAAAATAGAGAGTTATTTTGCTTGCATATAGAATTCCAATAGATTTCTCCTCTCTCTCTCTCACCACCCTTCCCGATCATACAATGTCTCATGCAACTGAAGTAGTAGACAACCATGGTAGCATCTCTTGAAGCTATCAGGTGTGCTGTTGAGCACAAAATCTTTGTGCTTGATTACAATTGGAAAAGTGTAAGCAGATTTTTTTGGCTGGAGAGAGGGGTTTCAACCAGATATGCCATTGTAGTGGAAAATCTGTTATTAATGATGCTCGAAGCATTCACAGACCTCATCCTTAGCCCTGAAAATCAAAAGTTCTTTAAAATTTGGAGATCAAGCGACTCGTCATTATGGGTACGAAAGATCACAAACAAAAGGGGAATCTTTGTAGATTATGCAGCAGGAAGGAAATGGCACAAAATAGAACATTATTCTTATCCTAGTTTAATTCTTCTAAGGTTGTTAACTCTCGCCACATAGTTGAATTTTACTTTCTGCTTATTTGAATTAATCTATTTAGTTAGACTTCCTCTGGAATACTAACTCTTAATTACTTTATAGCGTGCATCAGATTACTTGTCACCACACCTAAAGAATTCAGAAGGTTTGTTGCATTTGTATGCTTACTGGGCCCGTTTAGAGCTCAACTTGGGGAAAGATCTAGTTGCCGCCCGTGGAGTTTGGGAAAGTCTGCTTAAGATCTGGTTTTCCTCGTTGCCTTTTTATGAAACACACTTTCTTGCTTCCTTGCCACCCCATTATGAAACATTTTTCTTCTTTGTCTGCATTTTTTGGAAGTCATTTCTTTTTCCCTTGCTGTAATGTTTGCAGTGGCTCGTTATTGGCAGCATGGGAGGGATATATAGCAATGGAAATTGAGTTGAAACATATAAATGATGCCAGATCTATATATAAGAGATGTTACAGCAAAAGATTCCCAGGGAGTGGTTCGGAGGTAAAATTACTTCTATTGGTGACAATCTCCGTAGAGATTCTTTTTTCTTCTTTGTTTCTTTCATTGCAGGTTTCGTATCTTCCTTTGAATGAATAGATACTAATACTTTTTGGGATAGATCTCTAAAAACGAAGGCACATTTAGTATTTTTTAACATGCCTATATTTCTCATCTTTAATATTTTTATTATGTAAATGTCAATACACTTCTATTAAAGATCAAAAACACAATTTTATCATTCGAATATTAATAAACCTTTTTTGTAAATGTAGAAAGGTTTCAGAATCGTTTCTTTATGCATTATTCAATATATTTTGGATTAGATAATACATTATATTCCTGAAAAAAGGAAAATTGTTCAGGATATTTGCTATTCTTGGTTACGCTTTGAGAGGGAATTGGGCAGTCTCGAAGATTTTGATCATGCTGCTAGGAAGGTACATTTCTTTTACAATTTTCCAGTTATCTTGATTTTTGATCCATGAAGACGAACTGCATATGACAGTTGGATCCTCTTCTGGTTCTTTTTACAATCATAATTGTAAGTTTCAATTTCTTATCAGGAAAAAAAACACATGTTATCTTGGGTTTTGTTTCACCATGTTTTTGGGATAGAACTAATAAATATTGTTGATAATGGAAAGAAAGTTCATAAGCTGAGTGTCACGGTCGTACATTTTTCAACCGTGTGGCGCCATGATCTAAGCTCGACCATGGCCAGCCTGACGAGGAACTCTAGCTCCAATCCACTTTTCGCGCCCCTTTGTGGCTTCGTCGGACCTTAGGCGAGATTCTTTCTTCCTCGACCGAGCTTCACTTGCAGCGGAATTCTCACTTGACTCGGCAATGCACGTCGCCCGTACGTGCATTTAAACTCTAACGCGACTCTAGCCGGCTTGCCTCTACACTAGGCCAAGTCCCACGGCTCTACCTTGCCTCTATTCTAGGCCAAGGTCTTCTGAACGCGACGTCGCAACTTGTTCTCAACCATCTTGGTTCTCGGTCACTCGACCGTCCCGCTCCTACGATGAGCCAGGATCTTACCGGGATGAGTTCTGACCAATAACGGGGTCAGAACGAGCTTAAAACGCCAACCGGGTACAACCGGGACATTCCTGCCGCTTAACTATGTCAGAACTAGCTTATCGGACCCATCGGACGTCTCTAGGACCATTCCTGCCGAGAAACTAGTCAATAACGGGCTANCAGAGATTGTAGGGCGATCATGGAGGAAATGCCGTTATCCCCCCCTTTCCGTGATAGGGGTCGTTTTCTTTGGCAGGCGTGTTTTCTGGCTACTTTATGGGGTCTCTGGCTGGAAAGGAACAATAGGCTGTTTAGGGAGTGGAGAAAACTCTGGACTATGTTTGGGATCTTGTTAGGTTTAATACTTCGTTATGGGGTTCGGTCGCTAAGGCCTTTTGTAATTATCAATTAGGTCTCATTATTTCGGATTGGAGTCCTTTTATTTAGGGGTTCCCTATTGCAGGGCTGTTTTTTTTATGCCCTCCTTGTTTTTGTATCTTTTTTCATTTCTCTCAATGAAAGTGCAGTTTTTTATATAAAAAAAATAAATAAATAAACATGGCCTAAATAAATAAAAATTTAAACCTAAGCAGAAATTTCCAGTACCATTTGTTTATGATTTTACTCTAGAAAATTTTGATAAAAACAGAGCAGTTCTTCTTCTACTATTGAAATCCAACAAATTTCCCGGGTGATTTCAGTTTTCAAGGTGCATTAATTAGGAAGAAATTGATAATTTCTTCTTCTCCACCATTTTCTGCAGCAGCATGCTTTTGAAGAGTTCCTCTTTTAATCTAGTTCCGGCATCGCCACCTCTTCTTTCTCCTCTCTTCTCCAACCCACCCTCCAGGTTCCATCTCTAACTTAATTTACTCTCTCAATCTATTTCAATGCTATTTGATTTCTAGTTCTTGTAGTCCGTCAATTTTTGGGTTTGCTGTTTGTTTTTCAATGGTCGCAATTCAAATTTCTCGAATGGTTTATGACCGTAGAGTTCTTGTGTGTTTGCAGGGCAAATCTTACTGAAAATATAGCCATCGAGGGATCCAATCTCAGTTTCTCAATCACAACGAGGCAGGGGAAAATTGTGCCTATTCTGAGGGATTGCTCACTCCGGATCCCTTCAGGGCAGTTTTGGATGCTTCTTGGACCTAATGGTTGCGGAAAATCAACCCTCTTGAAGGTACACTGAGATTCACCCACATTTCCTATTTTGTTTTAAATTATTCGAATACATTTATTAAAAGCTGTTTTGAAAGCAAAACTAGAAAATTGTTCTGGAAGCAGTTTGCTCAGAATCTTCCAGTGAAGTCACTTGAGGAAGAACTATATGTTTACATTAGCTTGATTGCATGATACTTCTGTAGGGTGGTCACTCTAAACGTTACATTATTTGTTCTTCAATGGGAAGCAGAAATAGATATTGTTTAATTTTGATGCTAGCCGAATGGGCCACCCCCAATAATCTCCGGGATGCTTTACCTACTTTTAATTCCAATTTCGAGAGACAACAAGAATTTTAGGTTGTTATGTTTTGTAACTCAAGAGCTTGAACCTAGGAATTTAGAGGGTATTTCAATTTCCTAACCTTTGAAGTCTTCATAGGGCAGCTCTCAAGCCATTATGATTTATGACTAATATTTCTTAATATATAAAAAACGAGGACAAAATTTAACACGACTATCAAATGGGCCCTAATATGTCACTGTACTTTTCTTGCTCGATGTAACAAGAAGATGAAGTTATAGGTTCACGTTCTCTTATGCAGGTCTTGGCTGGTCTGTTGAATACAACAACTGGTGCAGTATACGTCAAGAAGCCAAAGTGTTTTGTCTTCCAAAATCCGGACCATCAGGTTATGTCCCTTCATCATTTTGACCTTCAGTTGACAAATGATAACATTTCAATTACCCCTTGAAACGAGATTCTACTGTCATGACGAAGTTCCTTTTTCTGAGTAAATATGCATTGTTTTCAGTTGAATTTTACACCTAGGAAAAATAATTCTACTGTTTTGGCGAAGCTTCTCATTCTGTGCCTTTGCAGTTGAAGTTTTGCATCATTGGTTTATTTTGATATAGTTCATTTTGCATTGGTCTTTATAGAAGCTATTGTTAGTTACTAGCTATACTAAGCTGCTCATCCATCCTTTAGAGGATTTTTGTATTGCATTTCAGGAATCATCTTTGAAACTGGTTTGAAGAATGGACTTAGTCGAAAAACACTATGAATGCAAGAAATACTTGACTCTAATGACTCTTTTCTTTCATTTTGCTCAATGAGAGCTCGGTTTCTCATCACGAAAAATCAAGTAAAATGATGACTTTAATATCATTAAGTTTGCCTTTGATCTAAAAGCAAAGGAATGTTGATTTGTAGGATTACAATTAAACTAGTTAATCTGCTGATAAATTTACGTTAAAATTTAAATTTAGTCCCAAAATTTGATGGTGGTGCCGATTTGGTATCCAAACTTTAAAAAGTTTTAATTACATCTTTGAAATTTCAATTTTGATTCTAACTAATTTTCCTACTGCTAACATTGTCAGATGTGGCATGTTGATTCAACGAACAAGCATGACATGTAAACAAGTCGCACAAGGGAGTATGCTTGATCCTAATGGATAAAATAAGGATGAGCGTGGCAAAAAATCACTTGTCCAATCAAGTTTCTAGGCCTGTCTATTCTTATTTTATCCAATAGACCTACTTTCTTGTGCCAAATTGTACAAAGTCATCACTTATTACTCCAATCACATGTCACGTCAATATCTAAATAACGGTATTAATGGTATGGACTTATTCAAATCAAAATCAAAAGTTCATAGATGTAATTAAAACTTTTGAAAGTTGAGTGACTAAGCACTACCTAAATTTTTAATTTGACCTAAAGTTTATTTTTACTTGGAAGATAATAAAGATGCAGAAAGAGTAAAGTTGCCTGTTTGAGAAAATCTATTGAATTTCAAGCATGCTTGCCATTCTAGAAACTAAAAAGGTCTTTTTGACTCTTCAATTCTCTTTTTGTTCATATTGTTGTTGTAATTGATGGAAATAATTATTTTTTTTACCAGGTTGTGATGCCTACTGTGGAAGCCGATGTTGCGTTTGGCCTTGGTAAGTTAAATCTGACCAATGATGAAGTCAGATCAAGGGTTTTGGAAGCTCTGAGTGCAGTTGGCATGTCTAGCTACCTTCAGGCAAGCCACATAGATTTATAGTTTTTGAAAATTCTAACACGTAACAACTGCAGAATCACAGATTATAATTTTGAAATTTTCTCGTTGTTGTTCTTCAGAGATCCGTCCAAACGCTGAGCGGCGGTCAGAAGCAAAGAGTTGCCATTGCTGGTGCCTTGGCTGAAGCATGTAAAGTTCTTCTATTAGATGAACTGACCACATTTCTGGATGAGAAAGATCAGGTATGTTATTTCATCATATATACAAGCAGATATTGTGAAGCTTCCATCACATAATTCCAGTGGTATAATTTGACATACTGATTTGATTATCACAAACAAATCCGATCTTCTCGTGCATAATTAGACGATCGAGGGGTGACCCTAGTGAAAAGGGGAATGGAATATTGAGAAAGTTCGAGCTTCAATTTTGTTGTCTCTCGAAGCTGAATTTGGTTTGGGCGGAGCCTTTCTTGGATTAATTAAGCAGGTCATGAGTATAATGTAAGAAGTGGAGCCCGTCGATACTCCAGTTACAGAAAAGAATGGAGAATAGAACTTGGGAAAAATGTTATTTTGTCCTAGAAATGAATAGGCTTCTTTATAATTCAAAAGTTAGAATTTATTTTGTCCTTCAATTGGTTGGCTTCTACAAAATTATTGGATCCAATAGGCTCAGGAACTGCTAATGTATGAATTCTGTCCTCAACCCATGTTATATTTAAAGAGAAGGTTCCTGCTACTGGAGAGCAAGCTTCAAATGTTTTAACTCTTTATTTGGGTTTATAATACATGTACAAATCATTCCTTCAACTTTCATGTTTATTGTTCCTATATTTTGGAAACTTGATAATAGGCAAATCTTTTCTTCATTTACCTCGTCGATATTCTTCATTTACCTCATCAAATAGATAGATGCATGCATGGCAAGTATTTAGAATCACGTGTAATATCATGTTTTAAACTAACCTCTAAAATAGTCTTTTTGCGCGAAATTTTGAAGCTAAAATGGAACATGTGAAAGTTACCGAACTAAAATAGAGCATTTTAAATTTTAAGAACCAAAACAAAGACGTTCGAGTAGCAAGATGAGATTTAAACCAATCATTTATCTATACTCACTGGAGCTGTTGTGAAATTGCATATATGTGCTCATTTCTGACTCCTTGTTCAACATTTTCTTTTCTGAACCAGATGGGGGTGATCAAGGCAGTTAGAAATTCTTTGCATAATTCTGAAGATGTTACAGCATTATGGGTGACCCATCGCTTAGAAGAACTCGAGTATGCGGATGGCGCTATCTACATGGAAGACGGGAAAGTCGTAATGCACGGTGATGTGACAAGTGTTCAAAATTTCATCAAAACGAAACAGTCGGATTATATGAAGCGTATTTCCTATCCATGACTCTCATTGATGTTTCTTTTGTTACATTATAATTTATAATGACATTGTATTATATAATTTTGTATCATTTTGTTACCTAATAAAATCATTGTGTTAATGATTTTGCTATTATCTTGTTACATAAATCAAAATCCCTTGGTTGATGAACAGCATAAAAAGGTGATCGTTTGTGCAGCAAAACTTCAAATGGCCTCCATTGAGAATGACATTATATTTGTTTCAGCAGAAGCAGTGAAAATGGATCACTTTGATTTTGATAATTGGGGTATATTTAGGTTTAAATATTATTTTAGTTTTATATTTTCGATTTTGCTTATATTAATATCCCACTAAATTAGCCATTTTCAAATATCTCCCTCACATCCATTTTCAAAGCTAATACTTTGATTTTGATTTTAATTACATCCCATTTTTTTCCTTCTTTTTTATTTTATTATTATTATTATATATATAGCACAACAAATGCGAGGATGGGAGATCGAATCTCCAATTTTAAAGGAATGAGTAAGGTGTCTTCTACTCGTTTTATCTTTTCCTCAACGTAAATTTTTAATATTCAATCAAGTCTAAATGTATCAATGTTGTTGAAAATTGGCGGCTAAATATACATTTTAGTCATTTGTTTGTATAATTTTTTCAACTTAATTCATATTGTTTAAAAGGTTTCAATTTAGTCTCTTATATTTTAATATTTTTCAGTTGATGTATATTTTAATATTTTTCAGTTGAGTGCATCATCGTTGGAATGTTAAAATTTACTTATGACAAACTTATAATATAACAGTTAGTGAATTGGTTGAAAATTATAAGAGAAAAAATGTTATTAGAGAAGAAAACTCGAAATTTATACCAAGTTCTTATAAATTTGGAGGACTTTCCTCTGTCTTACACGACTTTTTTCCTTGATATTTCTACCAATTACTAGATATTATGTCATGTAAGTTTAACATTAACAAATTTTAATGTTGACCAACAATGAGAGACTAAATTAAGAAATGTTAAGTCAACATTAGCTTAGCTAGCGATAATTGACACATATTTAACCAAGAGATTATGAGTTCGAATCCCTCCACTTCCACTTATTATTAGAAAAAAAAAACATTAGAGACTAAAACATAAGATACCAGGAATGTAAAATGTCTTTATTCTTAGGTACATGCTTCTAATTTTAATTTCAATTTAGTTGTTATATTTTTTAAAGTTTCGTTATCCAATTTTTCCCCCCTACACAAAATAAAAGAAAAAAAAAAGCGTAGCCTAAGTTTGGTTGTACTCAATAGAAATTAACCTTGGCATTTTAAAACAAAATTTGTCACTAGTCCTAGTCATTTTTTGCCTTGAATTTGCTCAAATTCTAACCCAAAATCATAATTTTGGACTGATCTATCATCTTTTTAGTACAACATGTTAGGGAGGGGATCCGAACTCACAACCTCTTAATTGGAGGTATATGTCAATTACCGCTGAATTATACTCGATTTGGCTTGGACTGATATATCATTGACTTGGTTATTCAAATAAAATATCATGAAGCTCATTTTAAATATCTCTTGTCATATTATTTTTTTGTTTCTCTTCACCCATCACATTTAATTTTAATCAAATGCTATGAACTAGAATAAAAGAATTTAAATTGTAGAGACGAAATTGAAATTAAAGTTAAAAGTAACAAAGACTAAAAGTGTAACTCAACTCATCTTTAATTAACTGTTTGTATTTGGATGAATTATTAGATACAAAAACATACTCTCTTGAATTAAATAAAACTCTTTTCAAATATCTAAATTTTTTTAGTTCAATATCTAACCAATTACTTAGCAATTTTTTGGAATAATATTACATTTGGAGGGAGGAGAAGCCTCAAACTTATAACGTTGAATCGCATATGTTAAAATACTATTTTGTTCTATATATTTTTAACTTTGATTCATGCTCGTTTCTATTATCTATTTTGATCATGTATTTTTAATTTTGATTCATTTTTAGTTTATGTATTTTAAAAATGTTCGTTTCGGTCCTTGTACTTTTAAAAAGTGACCATGTTGGTTCTTGTTTGCAAGATATAACAAATTCTACACAACGAAAACCCTTTAATATGAAACTATGACTACATTTCAAGAAATATATTAAATACAGTGTTAAGTTGAAATCAACAGAATAAAGAGAACAAAACAACCACTTTTTAAAAGAAAATTAACTTAAAAATATATTATTAAAATAGACAAAAATGAACCTTTTTATTTTAAAGAGTATCCATACTACTACCAACCATTATTGCTATCACCAAATTATTTTATTATATATATATATATATATATATATATATTAATATCCACTAATAGCTATTGAATTGAAAATTTGATATTATATATTTGAATGTGGATTTCATTTTCTAAATAATTGAGTTGAGAGTCAAAGGTTTTAGTTTATGGGTTGGGTGAGGCACCATTTAGTGGAGAAACCAAACCCACTACAATGTTAGTGGATTTTACTCAGCTTCTCCATTTTATTTTTATTTTTATCAAATTTTTTTGGGTTCTAAAAGAGAGATTACAAATATTCTTATCCATTTCTTTTTCTTTAGTATTATTAAGACATGATTGATGATTGATTTCATAATTGAAATAGAAAATCTAATTTATTAATGAGAAAAAATGTGACAAATTAAGAATACTCTCTTAACACTCTCTATGTTGAGGTGGGTGACACAATTGCAATCAACTCATTATTCTTTCTCTTTATATTGGTGATATGCTTGTAATTAGAAACGATCATCAAATTCTACAAGATTTTAAAGTTGAGATGGAAAAGATCGTCTGAAATATCATATCTAGGTTACATACATTATTTTCATGGTATGGAAATTCATTAGGAAGAAAAATGTATTTTTATTGTCCAAAAAAGCACGCTCAAGGAATTTTGAAGAAATCTAAGATTGATACATATAAAATTGTTTTACTCTTTTAGCAATAGATTTAAAAGTGTCTATTAGATATCAAATAAATGAATTAAATTTATCCAATCCATCAGCGGTAGTTTATTCATCCTGGTATCAGAGCGGGAGGTCCTGTGTTCGAACCCTATATCCAATTGAGTGGTGGTTTATTCATCCTTAAGAGTCTCGAAGAATGGTAGTGGGAACCTTTTTAATGCTACAAAGCATTTAAGTCATTAGATACTTAAAAAGGTAATTTTTATTTTGGAATATGGTATGAGTTTACAAGTGACTTGTAATTGTTTGGTTGTTCTGATGACTCCAAAAGTACTTCTAGTTTAGATCCTCTTGGCGTTAAGCTTTTATATTGGAATTCAAGAAAACAAGAAGTTGTGACTTTGTGTACTGTCAATAGTGAATTATTTCAATTGCATCAGCTACAAATCAAGCAATATGACTCCGCAAATTGCTTGATGATTTGAGATTTAAAATAGAGGAACCTCTGCAAAATTATTTTGAATAACAAGTTTGATATTGCTATTGCTCAAATCCTGTACAACATGTTAGAACAAAATACATTAAAGTAAAATTTAACTTATTGAGGGATGCAGAGAAAGAGGGTGAAAATTAAGCACATTTTTTTGTAGTTATAAATAACCAACTTTGCGACCTTCTCACGAAAGTTTTACCACAAGACCATTTGTGTTTCTGCACTAAAAGTTTGGGGTAACAGAAAAAACCACAAAATTGCTGAGTTATAAATTTAATTTTTAGTTTGTCTTGAAATTAGGTTAGATTTAATTTGATCTTTTTTGTCTTTTAGGTTTTAGTTTTATGATTTATACCTTTTAACGAAAGGTTTTAAATTTCGATGTCGATAAAAATATCGAGGTCTCAATTTCATGGAAATATCGATAAAATGTCGATGTCGATGGATGTTTCAGTAAAAGTTATAGAAATTAAAAAATTATAAAAAATATTTCAATTACAAATAAACATTTTCATATTTCTCAATAAGTTAAAAAAATAATTAATATTAATATTGTGTATATATTAGTGACATTTTGTTGATATTTTTCATATTTTGTCGATTTTTTTACACTATGATGAAAATGTTGATTTATCCCTCATGTCGATGTCGAACTCATGAAAATATAGACATATCGATGGAAATGTCGACGTGTCGATGGATATTTAGAACCATGTTTTTAACATTGTTTTAAATTGTATGTTGGTTGTTAAATTGAGTCAAGTATGGTAACTTAGAGAATTTCCATAAGAAGTTTTTATCATTGTACCAGCTTCGGTGAATCACTTGAGCACTAATACATTTTCGGCTTGTAATAAATTTTGTATCACTCCAGAAACTCTCTCATATTTCATGTTTTCAAACATTAAGAATGTGTTTTTGCTTTCCCAATATTTTTATACATCACTTTATTTTCTCAACATTAATAAACTTCTCTATTTACAACCTACTAAAACTTAAAACTAATAGAACTCAATTGAGAAACAAGTATAATAGTAAAAATTAACCTAAAAAGTTACTTAATTAAGAAATTGACTCAATCCTTAGAATTTTTTTTTTACCCTTTGTTAGTGTTTTTCTATCATTTTTTTCTTTTTTTTCCTTTTGTTGGAGCTGCGATTAAGAAAATATTCTTTCATTTAAAATATTGATGGTTCTACTCGAGAAATTATAAATAAACAAAAAAAAAAAGTAAAAAAAGCTGATTTCGAGCCATTTTATGTTCTTTGTCTTTTTGGAAAAAAAAAGTGGAATTCTAGATAAAGATTCATGCAATTTCAACCAATGAATCTCACTCGGGATTCATGCGGTCTCAACCAAGATCGACAGAATATTGTAATTTTTTTTTTAATTTTTTCTTTTGAAAGTAAACATCTTTAGGTAAAAAAATTATTAAATAGTTCCCATTATAAATATAAACTTTCTTAAATTATTTGGAAAACTTGTTACAACTTTCATAATCTCTTAAAATACACTTCTAAAGTCGAAAAGAAAATAGTACATGAAAAAAATTAGAAGAAATATTTGTGTTTCAATCATTAAAAAAATGGCACATTTGCAAATATGTAAAAAAAATATTTAATACAATTAGCAAAATAGTAACCACATTTAAAATTTTCAAATATAGCACTTTTTTTATAAAAAAAAATATGGAGGTCCAATTTTAAAATTACAACTTTACCCAAATGTTATACATGTATAATATATTTGAAACTACTGATATATATATGTGATATACATTTGATATACTACTGATATGAGTATTTAATACACTTACAATATGTATGTAATATACATCTGATATACTACTGATATGAGTATCTGTGCAATATGTATGTGATATATATCTAATATACTATTGATATGAGTGCCTGATATACTACTGATATAAGTGACAATTTTTACTATATTTGAAACTTTAAAAAATTGGTGTCATATTTTGAAATAAAAAAGATTTTTGCTACCCACTACAATTTCCTAAAAAATGGTTAGAAATTTTGTATTAGTTTTTTTTTTAAACAAAGAAATTTTGTATTAGTTGAATGAGGGCAAAATTATAAAATTATAAGCTGAGCCAACTTGCAGCTTCTTGGTTGGAAATATATGTCAATTACTGCTGAACTATCATTGTAAAAAAAAAAAAATCCTAAAATCAAAATTTTGTTGAGTTATTTTTTTTTTACAATTTATCCAAAAACCGAGTCAATCAATTCGGTTTAAAATGGCATCCCGATGTTCACCCCTACAATCTAGAGGGATAAAGAGTGGAAGTGATCCGAACAGATATTCGTTTTAGTGGATTCAAGTTTTGATTTTGAATAATCAATAACTTGGCACAGAAAGGGAAGTGTCCAATTCAATCCATTAACCCGCCGCTCAATCAAATGCGTTACTTTTTCCCTTCCATCAATTTTCTGAGCCAAATTCCACGTTTCACAATATGAAATTTCTGAGTGCCAACGTTTTCCCTTTGGGTATTATAATAGCAACAAAAATCCGTTCCATTTTCCCGTATAAGTTTGATTTGATTGATTCCGGGCGCTGTACAAAAAGTTTTGATTTCTCCCTGCATCAGCTTTCTTCAACTTGGCCCACCATTTTTCTCAGTTGAAGTTTCCTGTTTCATTTATGGGGAAGACGAGTCATCGATTTCTGTAAGTTGGTTTCGATTTTTAAGCTCTGGGTTCTTTGTATTTCGCCCGGTTTTACTATTCATCGGGTTTTCTTTACTTTTTAGCCATTTCATAGTTCGTCGTCCATGAGTTTTCTGTAATTGACTACTTGATTGCCTCTGAGTTTCATGTCATCTGTGGATTCGCTGAGTTTTCGGGTCTGATGATTCAAAGGTGATGTATTATATTTTTTCGTCCCTCCCAGCTCAGTGATTTTGATTGTTTCTTCTCCAGTTCGATTTCTGTTTCAACTTTGATTAGGAATCACGAGCATCTCTGTTTCAACTTTGCAGGAAAGAAGGATATTTAGGAAGTTTCTAAGGCTTTACTTTGCATGTTACTTTTGTGAAATTCTGGGAGTAAAACCATTATGAGAAAAGGGACAAACTGTGGCATAAGGAACTTTTTCATAGTTAATACCAAAAATATAATGATTACAAAAAGAATTGGGGAGAGAACACCATGAAAATGTCTAAAATCTCACAAGGTTTGCCACCTCTTCCCAGTATTTTTTCTTGCCGTTGGATAATGGGGAGCTCTTTAATCCAAATACTCCATTGGAGTGTTTTTTATTGCATTTATCCACAAACTCTTCCTTCCCGTTCCTTCTCAAGTTATAGTCGCACAAAAGCTGGGACATATTTTCTTTTGCCTTTTGCGCATAAATTCAAGACATATGAAATTGCTCCAGAAGGAACTCCCAACATTTCCTACTAAAATCACCATGAAAGAACAAATGATTCATATTTTTCCTTGCTTCTCAACAAAAAACATGCGAACTTGATTGGAGAGGAAAACTGGAGTACCCCTTTTTTTCTGCTGTATTCAAACCTTCATGGTAGAGAGGCCACGATTCTATTTGTTTATTTATTTACTTTTGACATTCCTACAATTCGTGCCCTTCAGATTGCGTAGTTTGCTCACGGTAATAATATGTCAGTCTCACAGATGATGTGTATATTTCTGCTATGAATTTATGTATTTGTTTCTTCTTTTTTCCTTTTCATTCTTGTTCATACTTGTAGTTAATCACATCACAATGAATTATGAACTGTATTATGGTCTTTTCATTTTTCCTTTGTGATCACTTCTCAAGGTCTTCTAGCAAAATTTTGTACTTCTGTTTCTTACATGGCAGTGTGTGAAAATGAGAATTCATTTGGCTAGCTATGGCAATTGGCATATGACTTCCTTTTGTTTCTGGCCCTGCCCCCTCTAGTGTTCCTTATAGCCATTTGATACCCAAGTGATTTAGCAGTGGAAAATTGGCACTGGCAGGGTGGTTCTCCATTGGGAATTTACATGGACGAATTTGTGATAAATAATCATCAGTTAAGATTTTTCAATGGAATTGATTTGTGTCTACTTGGTGTTCTGTGCTTAATACCTCTGTCTTTAGTGTTGCCTCTGGAGTCTTCAGATTTCTATTAGAATGAAACCAACGTCTATCTGAAATACAACTAAAACTTTAGTGGTGGGGGAGGAAGTGTCAAATTGCAAGAGTCATATGGAATAACAGATCAGAGATTGAATGCAGCGAAAGGAGAAGTAGTTAACTGTTTTTTTCCCAGTAATTACTTTATTTCTGTTCAATATTGCACGTATTCTGTTCTTCATATTCTGCATTTACCCGGGATTATTTCATCCTTTATTTCTCAAGTAGTTTTGTTATTTTTCCCCTGTAAGTATATGTGATTATATAGAATTAAAGTTGAAATCAATTTTTATCCATAATTTCGGTTGTTGGCTCTTTTGTAGGTAACAATTAGAGATGAAGCATTTTCCCACGTTCTATCTGAAATACAACTAAAACTTCAGTGGAGGGAAAAGAGTGTTAGATTGCAAGATCCATATGGAACAGCAAATCAGAGATTGAGTGCAGCAAAAATAAAAGCAATTAACAGGTTTTCTTTTCACAGTAATTACTTTCTCTCAGTTTAGTATTGCACTTCTTCTGTTCTTCATGTTCAGCATTTATCTGGGATTCTAGATTCATCCTTTCTGTCTCAAGTATATTATTTTTCCTCTGTAAATATACAGTAATATATGTGACTAAATTATTATTATCTTTAATTTTGCTTGTTGGCTCTCATATAGATAATAATTAGAGATGAAGCAGTTTGAAGATGGTGAATCCGACTTGGAAGATGGTAAAATGGGAAAGGACAGAGACAAAGCGTTACGAAATTTCAGGGTATTTAGAATACATAACCAGGCCTTATTGTCTGGCCTTGCATACTGCATTTCCTCGTGCAGCATGATACTGGTTAACAAGTTTGTACTTTCCAGTTATGATTTCAATGCTGGGATATCATTGATGGTCTATCAGGTGATTTCTCTTTATAGAAAATATGTTAAGAAGCTAACATTTATTTTTCGTCTGTTGTTGCTTACTATTCTCTAATTTTTACCATGACTTTTGAAAATTAATTGGAATACTAACAAGTTGTTGCTCTGTTTGTTGTGCAGAATTTTATATCAGTGATTATTGTAACTGCAATGAGTTTTATGGGCATAATATCTACAGAACCACTGACATGGAGACTGGTTAAAGTATGGTTGCCTGTAAATGTTATCTTTGTTGGGATGCTCATTACAAGCATCTTCAGGTACGATCTCTCTTTCCATTTGTTTAAGTATTAAAATATCGATATCAACAGAAATATCAAGTTCTCAATTTTTTTATGGATATTTTGATAATGACAGATATTTCTAGAAAAACTATGGAAATGAATAAATTTATGAAAACTATTTTAATTAATAAATAGGAATTTTACACTTCTTAAACAAGATATAAATCTTATTATTAATATTTGTATTGGTGACTTTTTTGTTGATGTTTTTTATGTTTCAATTTCTACAATATTACAATATAATGGGAAAGATTGACTCTGATATCAATGTTGAACCCTCATATGGATATATTGACGAGTCAACGTATACTTTGATCTGAAAGGAAGTTTGGAAGACTTCATATTCAACATATTTATTTGGTCTTGCTTGAAAACATGTGCATAATTGTTGGTCATTCAGCACATGCATAATTCTGATTCTTTTATGTTGAATATTGAACACTGCAAATGATTTGATTTCTATCTAAGCATCTTGAAGAACATAGGTACCCAAGACCATCTCATGTGCCCCAAAGCTCTAAAAAATGGATTCAGTAATGCATGTCAACAGCTAACATACACAGGGTTTCCCAGTCGACTTCATTTCGGCCTCAAGTCTTGTATCTCAATGCTGAAAATATTTTTTTTTGCCTTTGGTTAGATCTTGACAGATGGTATATTTTTTAACACAAAATTGGCTGCTAAAGTTTGTTCTGAATCTTTTCTATTATTTAAACTGATTTTTCTTGAACAAAACAATTATGCAAAGAGCCCATACACCCATTTTCCCATCTATCAATGTGGTTCCACTCTTGTCTATCATACAGTGTCATTTTTGTGTCTGGTGCTTTATGGATGCCATTAATAATCATTGTTCACAATATCTGGAACTTGTATTATTTTTTTCCACTATGAACCCTTATTTTGTTGGTGAGCCGTATTTCTTTGTCTATAACTTAATTGTTGGTTTGTGGTTCATGTACTTTCTTAAATATTTGTTACTTCTCCTGCAGTTTGAAATACATTAATGTTGCTATGGTCACAGTTTTGAAGAATGTTACCAATGTAATAACTGCAGTTGGTGAAATGTATCTTTTTGGCAAGCATCATGACAACAGGGTTTGGGCTGCACTATTCCTCATGGTATATACTATACAGCATTTCTAAAGTACTAATATCAGGACTAGCTGCAAAGGGCATAGTTTACTGTTAGTTCGTTGCATGGAATAGCTATTTACCTTTCTTACTTTAATTTTTTCTATCCACAAAGATTTGATCGAAAAGTTCTATATCGGGTCTGACTACTAGTGTCCACCCCAGGGGAGGGGGAGGTGTTAAACTTAGATATCTACATATTATACTTCCTTTACATGTTCAAGCTAATCAAGAAACCTACACAAAGATATATTCGACATGGTTTACAAAGATATATTCGACATGGAAATAATCATTTTTTGGAAAAGTAGGACAAGGACATTCAAAAATAGGTTTGATCAAATATATATTTAAAAATGTTTTTATATACTCTCACTGATATAATGCTTCCAGACATAATAAATTATATGATAATGAAATTTATAGGTACGAATATTCTCCTATATTCAATAAAAAGCTGTACTAAAATAAATAAATATATATATATTCACTAAAAAGCAAATTTAAATATTTTGAAATAATCACATATCCAGAAGGATTTTTAATAACAAAATGATATTAATCTCACGAAAAAAAATTGCATCTCAACCATTCTTCTCACATCTTTTTACACTATCTCATTGAGTTTCATCAAGTGAAACTTACCTTTTCATTTTTATATTTGTTTAGTCTTTGTAGGCTCTTTAATATTTTGATTCATTTTGTAGACTTGTAGTCGATGTCAAATTCATAGAGTTGATGAAAGAACTAACATTTTAATAGGAAAAGCTTAATTTTTCTACGACACTTCCTCAACAAGTCCTTAATGCGTACTCTCATATGTGCCTTGGTGTCATGACCGTAGTTGTTTGAGATCTTAAAACTAACTAAAATTAAGACTCTTCATGTCTTTGGAGCGTGTCTAATGCAATCTTGCACAAGGTTTTTAAGATGAATGTAATCTGATCTTATTAATTAGGAGCAGAAACCTCAATATGTTTCTGAAATAACAAACTAATAGTAACTTGAAGTTACTGTGCAGTGAAAGGTATAATACAAATGATCATAACCTACCACCCACGTTTACCTTATAACTAAAATAAAGACATCTATGACTACATCAGGGTCCATATTTGACATTGACACTTCTCAAAATAGTGTGCATCTTTTGAACAATTTCTGTTCATTTTCATACATCAGTGTAAATTTTTTGTCTTGTCCAAAATAGTGTGCATTCTTCCTAGCTAATCAAAGAATGTTAGAAGTCAGTTGCCCCCAAGGGCACCTCGTTGGCTAGGGTTTGAGGTCTCTTAGTCATAATGGCTTTGAGGTCTCAAGTTGAACCTTCAGATGAGTTTAATACAAAAAAATTTTGATCTCTCCTGGGTCTGGGCCTGATGCCCCAAAGATAGGGGTGCAAAGCTAGGACATGGAGCCAGTTGTTGAACTCTTTGTGTGTATATATATATTGGTTTATTGAATGATCTCTTTCTGTTGGGTTTGATGAGAGCGTAAAGAGAGTCCATTTTATTAAGTGCTGCACTTAGTCCAACCAGTTGGTTTCATATATACTAATTAAAGCTAGTTTGATTGAATGCCTATTACACTATAACATTTTATTAATCACCAATGAAGTGAATTCCCCAATTCTCAAGGCGTGTGAAAAGGGACCCAAGTGTGGATATGTCATAAGAATGCATGACCTTCTTATGTAAGATTGAGTGCAACTTTTGTTTTGCTGTTTTGTTTTGCATTAGGAGGTCGTGACACAAGGTTAGAATTCTAGTTCTACGGTGGTATTTGACTGATGGCTCGAGGATTTTTTATTTTTTTTTATAAGAAACTACGTTTTCATTGAGAAAAATGAAACAAGGAACAAGAAATACAAAGAGGGCCTACAAAAAGACAGCCAGAAGATGGGAGCCCCCTAAAGAAAAGGGCTCCAATCCAAAAGAATGAATCCTAACGGGCAATTACAAAAGGCCTTGGAAACAGAGCCCCATAACGAAGTAACGAAGTATTAAATCTAATGAGCTCCCAAACATAATCCATAGAATTCTCCACCCCCCTAAAAAATCCGTGGTTCCTCTCCAGCCAAATGCCCCAAAGAGTAGCCAAAAAACAAGCTTGCCACAAGAAACGCCCCCTATCAATCACGAAAAGGAGGGTGTAACAGCACCTTCTCCATCATCGACCTACAATCCCTCGCGCGGACCCATGTCATCCCAAAACACCTAAAGAAACAAAGCCAAAGATCTTGCGCAAACTGGCAAGTCCACAACAAATGCTCAAAGTCTTCCGAGGCACTCCTACAGAGGACACACCATTGTAGACCCAGACAAGAGGAAGACATCCTTTGGATACGATCCAAGGTATTGACTTTCCCAATCAAGACTTGCCACCCAAAAAACTTAATCTTCTTTAGAATTTTAATCTTCCAAAGGGAGGTAAACCAAGGGGATACGGGGAAAAAGAGGACGGGGAATTCAAGACATGAAAAAAGGAACTACAAGAAAAACCTTTTGAAGGGATGGGGTCCACACCCTCACATCCTCCCTCCCAGAATAGGAGGGGACCTCAGACAACAAAGCGAGTAAATTAGAAACCTCTCAAGCTTCTCGATTCGTCAAAGAACGAGAAAGACCCAAGCAAATGGAAGGATGGACCCACCCCCTTATGGTTTAAAACTTCAGCCACTGAAAAAAGTCTTTTATCAGAAAGATGAAAGAGCCGAGGAAACGCTATTTTATTTAGATTTTAGGGGTTCAATCATTTAATCGTTCTCCCATTTCAATCGTTTTCTCCATGTTTCGTTAAGAATGAATTTTTCCCTGGTTATCATGAATTCTAGACTGAGCAATTGGAATTCAATGCTTCATGCAGATAATCTCAGCAATTACTGGGGGCCTTACTGATCTATCTTTTCATGCTGTTGGCTATGCATGGCAAATTGTCAACTGCTTCTTGACCGCATCATATTCTGTGAGTACATAACTTGAAGTCTTTTATATTCAGTTTATTCATGTACTTTCATTTGCAATGGCCATGGCTTGATTTGTTTCATATCTTTTCCACCATCTTAGATGATACCTTATATTTTCTATCGTTTTCTTGTAGTTCTATTTTTGTCATCTTTTCCAATTGCTTCACTACTTTATGATTAAATCCATTTTTTATGAAGTTAAAATTTTACATTGATTGAATAGAGTTGCATTGCTCTAAGAACTTCTAGAGCAGTCATGTGAGGCCTTCTCGTTTCCATTTATTGGGAGCTACTCTGACATCATTTCTCGGAAATTCTTTAAGTTCTCACTCTTCAATAATTAATAATGACATTTTGACAAAGAAACACAACTTTTCGTTCCAAAAGAAGAATAATTACCAAATTATTTTGACATAGCCCACTAAGTAAGCCGTAATAATCTTTACAATATCAAATCTATCCAGGATGTTAATATTCCAACTTCAATATCCCACCTAGGTTGTTGGTATTTTTTAGTTCGTTGCCCACCTACAAATTTCATTGTTTTCTCGAAAACGAATTGGTTCTGCTTGCACCCAATTAATTATAAGTTTGACGCTCAAAATGAGCAAAGGATAGCTGAAAGGTAGAAAGAGGTTGCTATGGGAGGGTCTATCTTTGTTTCTTCTTTGTTTCATGTTAGGCAATTGATCTTTTATTAGCTTTCACGGCGTAGCTGATGTAAAATTTTTATGCAGCTGACTCTACGGAGGGTAATGGATACAGCAAAGCAGATAACCAAATCTGGAAACTTGAATGAATTCTCAATGGTCCTGCTAAATAACACTCTTTCCATACCTCTTGGGATATTTCTTCTTGTTGTGTTTAACGAGGTTGATTATCTGTGGGGAACGTGAGTTTCATTTATCTGACTTTTCTCTATCTTCCTGTTCATGGATGATGTTCTTTGTTCCTACATTTTTAGAACCCGGTTTATTTCGTTCTTTGAGGTTCATTTCTGTTCAGCCTCTACTCCCTCCCTCAAAATAATTTGGAGAATATTTCATTTTTCTCAATGAAATATCAGTTTCTAATAAAAAAGAAATAATAATTAGGAGAATAGTGGAAAAACAGCTTGAAAAAAGCCTCTGGGGAGAAATTATTAAGTTTTTGATTTAAGAAATTATGACTATGTTAGAGAAATGATGTATTATTGAAAAAACTTTTATTTTTTTCGCCATTTGTGTGCATTTTGACTAACATGAATGTGAATTTAACGAGTGTTGAATATACTTGGCAGATCGCTTTTGAGATTACCGATGTTCTGGCTGGTGATTACATGCAGTGGTGTTTTGGGTCTAGGAATTAGCTTCACTTCCATGTGGTTTCTCCATCAGACTGGGGCCACAACATACAGGTATAATGAGGAGAAGAAAAAAGGTCTAATTTAATCCTTTTAATTTATTAACACTCTCTCACGTGTGAGTTCGAATATTGGCTTATTGGCTATTATAAGACTTAACATGTAAATTACTAATACCAAATAGAGAGGAACATCCTTAATTTGCTAGTATACTGTCTTCTTGATTCTAACTTATCTTGTGCGAATGCAATGAAGACTTGAATTCTGTTTCTACCTGCCCTCGTTTGCAGATAATCTGCCATTAATTTTTTTGTTCATTGATAAATTTCTTTCTTCCAGACACTTGTTCAATTTTTTATAGCTTTTTCAAGGCTTTTGGACTTTTTTTCAAGGCTTATATTTGGATGGAGAGAAATAATATAATCTTTAGACTTTAGGAGTGTGTAGGGTTTTGGGAGAGGTTTCGTCCCTTGCTAGGTTTTATATCTTGCTTTGGGCTTCGGTTCCTAAAGACTTTTATAATTATTCGTTAGGCCTTGTTGGATTGGTGCCCTTTCATGTAGACTACCCCCTTTCAGGTTGGCTCCATTTTTGGGCTCCCATTTTTAGGTCTTTTTTTTTTGTCTGTCTTTGTTAGTCATTTTAAATTTCCTTCTTCGGAGTCTGATTTTACCTCTTATATTTGCACAAATACCTTGTAGATATGAGTACTAAATATGGACTTCTGATCTCTGGCTTATAATTTGCAGCCTAGTGGGGTCACTGAACAAGATTCCCCTCTCCATGGCTGGCATCTTCCTATTCAAGGTCCCTACAAGCTTGGAGAACGCTGCAAGTATATTTTTTGGTAAGTTTTTCTCATAAATGGCCTAATTTCGATATCGTATTTTCATTGGTAGGTCTCGAACCCACGTGCTTGACTTTGCATATGCATAACTGCTAAAAGAATGGCATTTTTGCAGGGCTTTTGGCTGGTGTATTTTTTGCAAGAGCCAAAATACGAGAGCGAAGTTAGTTCTCAAAAGCCATATTTGTAATTTTACCGGAAAGAACTTTTCTCGACACCGACCCGCCATATAGAACTACTGCTTGCTGAAGCTGGTTTGCAGTTTTCTGTAATTTTTGATGGAAAATGGATCAAGAGATGAATCCTCCATTGCAGTTGGGTGAGGTGTTTTCAGCTTTGTAATTGGGATGAAGCTGAAGAGAATTCTGTTGAAATGCAGTTTTGACTTAGTTTTGTTTATGGAAAGAAACACAATGAAATAACTTTAGATTGTAACCATTTACTTCCGAATTGATAACAATTTAGTCCAATTTAGTCTCTATATGAAAATCTCATCAAAGTTAAATATCGATTCTTATCATATAACAATTTAGTATTTATAATTTATAAGTAGAGCATAACTCGATGGTAATTGGGGTATATTAAAAAAAGAAAAAAATACATTTGGTTGTATTGATCTACACTCGGTAAGAAATTTTATGAAATATTAACAATATTTTTTTATATCGTTACAAGCTTTAAACTAAATGGATTAAATTGTTAAGAGGGAATGAGTTCAAATTCTATGACGGTCACCTACTTTAATTACATTGATTACATTGTTACGATATTAAAATTTAGGGATCCCAGATTTGAAAATATGAGGATAAGTAGTTACAAACTAAAGTTCATATTAAGTCTTTAACTCAATAAAAGTATAGAGATAAAAAGTGTTTTTTAATCCATTTATGTTAAAATTCTATTCAAATCTTAAAACTTGTAAAGATTATGGTGTAGTCATTGAATTTTTTTTTTAAATGATAAAATGATTTCTCGAGGTATTAAATTTTTATTGACTCAGAAGTTTGAAAAAAATTTATAGTTTAAATAGTTAACTTCCAAAATGTTTATTAATGTTTGTTTTTAGTGTAACAAATGGGGTGGGTGGATTCAAACTCACGCAGTTGCAAATAGATGTCAATACCGCAGAGCTAAGCTTGTGATGGCTATTAACGTTTGTTTTAGTTTCTAGAGTTTCATATTTATTCATTTTGCACCTCAACTTTTAAAATATCTATTTTGTCATTTATTCTTTTTCTTTATGAAAAAATAACTTTGGTTTATGTTATTATTTTGTTGTATAAAAAAACAGATAATATAATATTTATAAAAAAAAATAACTTTGGTTTATGTTATTATCTTGACGTATGAAAGAACTGATAATGTAACTTCAAATATAATATTAACGTGTTTTTTTTTTCTTTTGAAGTCATAATATTAATGTGTTGAGTTGATGTTGTCTATGAATCTTGTTAATTTATTTTTAGTACGTGTTCTGTATTCATAGAAATGTTGACATGGTTAACTTATTAGTTGTTGAGGGGATGTGATTTAGGAGCTACTTGAACATGTTACAATTAGGGATGTTCACACGATGGGGATGAGGAAACCTTCCCCATCCATAGTTGTTCTTGGGCGCTCCATTGTTGCGCAGTATAGTTGGATTTGACATTTGGTACTACTTGTTTGTTCAATTATTGATATCTCTCAACTTGTCACTAAAATCACTCATGCGCTCGAACGACCTTTAATGGAATGGGTACTCGCGTCCCCACCTCCTATTTAATTCTCTATCCCTATGAAATTTCACAAAGATCGGGTTTCCTATGGGAAATTTTTTCTTTTTTCTTTTTTCTTTTTAAGTTTTAAAACTATTTCTCAATTAAATATTTCTTTAAAAGATTTTTTTTATTAATTGCTTAATTTTCCATGATAAAACTTCATGGTTTAATCCTTTCATATACACATTCTCATCCTCATCCCCATTTAGGTAACAAAAAAAGAATTGTATATTTATATTTAGTATATATAGAAATATATATTTTAAAAAAATTGTGATAGAGCGGGGACAGAGATGGGGAATGTATTTTCCATCTCAGTCCCTATTTAGGTAACAAGGAAAAAATGTACCCCATCCTTGTCCTTTGGGAAATCTAAATGGAGATTCCCCATCCCATTTAGGGTGGGTCCTTGCGAGGTCCGTTCCCACGGAAAAATGAACACTTCTAATCACTATTGAGCGAGCAAATAGAATTAAGATCAATTTAGATTTGGGACGAGAGGTTTATGAACCAATCATGTCATAATATTTTTTTGGAAAAGATTAATTTTTTACTAAGAACTTTAAGTGAAGGAGTAGATCTTAATCAATTAAACAATAATTTTGAACAATTTTTACATTTTAAACCTTATTCAACAATACGTATGGATAAAGATTTAAATATTCTCTATTTTAACCGATGATATATGCTTTAATTAGTTGAATTTACCAAAAAAAAAACTAGTTGAATTATGTTTTGCTCCGTTTTGAAACCTTTTTTTATATGGTTGTAATAGCTTAATTTAAAATTTAAAGACTTCATTGAAATTTTTGACAATATAGAGAACAAAATTTGTAATTTAAGAAAAGAAAGAAAGAAAGAATAGGAATACGATGAACATTTTGCCTAAAAATTAGTTTCACCACTTCATTTTCTTGGTCACAAAGAGAAAATTCGTTGGTTCCCAATGGAGAGATCGCAGAATCCAAACACGAACCCTAATCCTGTATCGTCGCCGATTGCTGCGTTATGGCCGACAATTGATGCGTCACTGGGGTTGTCCGAGGAAGAGTCCGTGAGCTATGCCCGCGGATTCTACAAATTTGGATTTGCGTTGCTACCATTTCTTTGGGCGGTTAATTGCTTCTACTTCTGGCCTGTTCTCCGCGATTCCCACTCGTTTCCTCGCATCCGACCCTGTGAGTTTGCCTCTCTCTGTATCTTTTCGATGAACACGTTTGTACTTTCAATAGTTTCCTTAGTCTACCCTGAGGTGATGTATAAAGAATGATGAATCCGGAATTTACTTTGTTACTGCTGTTCATAGGTGGACATGAATCTGATCATATTGCTGGATTTACCTTAGCTCAATATTTCAAGGATTAGTAGTTGTTTTTCTCGTTCTGTTATAACTCCATTTCTGTATCACATTGATACTCCTCACAACTTGATGGGAAACAATGGATAATAAATTACCGATCCTGTTCATATTCACTAAATTGAGCCTTAAGAATTCAGAAGTGCTTTCTGGATTTCCAATGACAACCTTTCGTTGTAGTGACATAGATATGCATTTTCTGGTGCCTAGGAAGGTGCAAATTCTTGGTTCTTGCTCTCCAAGTGTACAATATTTTTAAATTACCGTAGTTGCTATTCTTTTGAACTTCATCATGCATATCCTTCTTTTTTTGGACAAATTGTACAAACCTATGGTGGTTGTTACAATTGTACTCATAAACAATATTGTTAAACTCATAGAATACACGAGTTGTATTTTATCGACTCACATGCCATGCCCATGATTCAAGTCATGCACTTGAGTCCTAATTTACTAGAATCATCCATTTCAAAATATGAATCATGAGGAACGAAGCAAAGAAATCTTATTAAAAAATTTTATGGAGAGAAGAAGATCCAATCAAATATTTTACATTGTAACATTTCTCTTATACTCTTCTAGACTCATAAGGAAAAAAATAGGAAAAATTTAAAAGAAATCAGAGAAATGAGTGTCATACAAGTTTAGGTGTTGGGAGTCTGGAAGAAGTGAAGCAAGGAGATGTAATATAAGCGTGTGGCATGACAAAGCTGATTGGAAAAAGAATTGAAAGAAAACAGAGAAGGAAGGAGGAAGGAAGAAGAAGTATTGCAAAGACTAGAGGAAGTTAGAGAAACCTGGAGTCTTAACAGATTTATTTTAGTGAAGGGTGACAGTTTTCTAAAGGGAAGGATCTAGACTTACGGTCTTACAATTCACGTGGGTGGATGGGTGGCTTGGATTTGGGGAGTGGGATTGTGCTGTGGAAAGATTACATTTTCCTTGAACAAAATTTAATAATTTAGATAGAGATAATGGACTCCGATTCCTTTCCAAATTTCTATTACCTTCAACAATTTAATATACATATGTGATTTTCTATTTAAATACTAGTCATAAAATAAAACTTATCATACACGCTACGTTAAGATACATGCTAGGCTAAATTTTAATTTGATACATGTTTCGATTCACGAGTTAACATCCTTGCTCAAATTGAACTTTTTGTTTTAGTAAAGAGAAGTGAAGATTCTTGGTTCTTGCTTCCCAACTATACAACATTTTTTAATTTTGGAGTTGGATTGCTTTTCAAGTCATGGTTGCAGTTATTTGAACTTCATTTCCTTTTTTCAGGAAAAAAAGTGTGCATCTACCTGGTTGACCAAGGAGTGTGTGTGCGTGCATGTATTCATGTATGAATTTAATTATATACCAACTAGTGTTTTAAAAAGCTCGAGGCGCACTAAAGCCCAATAGACCTCTGGAGCTTAAGCGCGAGGCGCAAAAAAAAGCGCGGGCTTTTTTTCGCGAGGCGCATTATATATAAAAATAAATAAATATATATACACACACATATAAAACATATAAAAGCCAAATAAGATTAGAAAACATCATAGGTCTTCTCTTAGCATAAAGAATCATGGTCCACAAACTAGTATAAGACTAGAAGTATGATAGTTCGAAATAAAAATCTAAAGATCAAACTCATCATCACTAAATAGTCCTTCAATTTCATCATTTTCATCCTCTCCATCATTAGACTTGTAGCCATCTGCATCTTCCTCCTCGGTGTAATCTTCATCATCAATCAATTGTATGGGTGTGGGCCGTGTGGATTGAGAAGAACTTGAAGCTCCAGCCGTAGTCCTACTTCTTGACCTTGACGTGCTTGCTCTAGAATGATAGGCAGGTTCTTCTGCTCCAGCAGCTCTCGAAACATCACCCCATGTTAAGGAATCATCAACAAATACAAGATCATTATCCTCTTCAGAATCACTATCCATTCTCTCTATCAGCCACTCATTACTATCATCGATATCCTTCAAAGAGATAGGGTCGATTGTGTTCCGCATGTTATGTCGTCGTTTCAATGTTCTATTATACTTTATGAAGACCAAATCATT